TAGCCACTATGGTAAAGTTTAACAAATGAACTGTCACTTTCGCCTTCTTGGAGAGGGAAAATCAGATTTTCCAGTAGAGTGACACTGAATATATCGACCAGGACAGGCTTATGTTTAGGAGTGGATGACCAACAGAGAATTGAACTCCACAGTGTATTTGGTTTGTTTTGTTTTTGTTTCATGTGCTTGTGTGTGTTTATTTGCTTATAGTTTAGTGGTTGTTTTTTTCCCCTTTTGGTGTGTTTTTATTTTGTTTCCTTTGTTTTGGGTGAGTTTTATATTGGGTTTTTGTTTGTTTTTTAAGAAAGAACTTAAAGTAGGGTTGGATAGAGGACCTGAAAGGACTTGGGGGAGGGGAAGGATGTAATCAAAATATTTAAATTTAAATTTTTTTTTTATAATAAAAATAAATCTCAAAAAACTTCAAAAACAATTTTACTAATAATTGTTTACAAATTATCTTGGCATAAATCTAATAAAGGTGTTAAATAAGCTCTATAATGAAAACTTTAAAGAACTGAAGAAAAACTGAAGAAGACAGCAAATAATTGAATGAAATCCATGCTCATGGACTGTCAGAATTAATAATGTAAGAAGAACCAACCATATTTACTGAATTTATATACAGATTTAATGTGATCTCTATCAGAAAGTTTTTTACATTCTTAGCAGAATTGAACAACACAAGGCAAAAAGGCATGTGAAAACTAAGAGCTCTTAAATACTCAAAAAATGCTAAAAGAAAGAATGATGCTGGAGATAATGTAATATCTGATCCCAAGTTATTCTACAGAATCATAGTTAATGATACTAAATGCCATTAGCATAAAAAACAGGCATATAGTCCAACGGGGGGGGCGGGGGGAGGAAGCGGGGGAAAAAAAACTCTCTTGAGTAAATAGTGCTGGGAAAACATATCTATATGCTCAAAAAAGGAACTAGAATATGACTCAAATTGACCTAAGTTCTTAATTTCAGTTCTAAAATCTGAGAAATTTAAGAGAAAACATAAGTAAAATTCTCCAAGATGCATTTTCAAGAAAATTCCAATGGCACAGGAGATAATACTGAGCATGATAGCATCATAATACAGGATAGCATAAAAACAAACAAACAAACAAACAAAAGGCAAACAAGCCTTGTTGCACAGCTGTTACCAGAGTAATGAAACATGAAGGAAATCTTTGCCAACTATTCATTAGATTATTGATTAATACCTTGACTACATTACATTTTATAGAACCACATGCTTGAGACTAAGGAGAGTGATCAGAGGTAAGGAGCTGGGAAAGTTACTTAAGTATCACCAAACACAACTACTTAGCATATATTTGGGTTTCTCCTAGCCAAGTGGTGTGACTATGGGTTGATATTGAAATACTAGTTCGAGGGGACAGGAGATAGCTCAGTTGGTAAAGGGCATGCTACACACACAACAGAAAACTATGAAAATAGACAGCTTTTCATCTATCCAACTAAGGGTGTTCTGTACAACAGAAAATGAACTGTACAAAAGGAGTCCCCACAAGGGAATAAAACAAATACAACAGATGGGGTGTTAATAAACAAAATTTATGTGAGATGCACACAGTCAAACAGCCAAAAAAAAATAAATTGATGCTAAAATAAGCAGAGAATTAGAAAATATCTTTATTGAGAGAAAGCACACAAATGGCCAAAAAGGCACAATAATGTTCTTCTACTCCACTAATATCTCAGAGAAGTGGATCCAGATGGAGATGATATTTTAGCCCTCATCTGGAAAATGACTAATATAGAAAGACTAAAGGTTGATGTCACAGAGTATGTGGAGAAAAGGGAACACTTCACTGATGGTGGCAATGTTGGTGCAGCCATGACAGAAAATAGTATACCATGAACCATCCCCTGCACACACATATTATATATGTGTGTGTATGTATATATGTATATATACATGTATTATACACTAAGAATGTATGTACACATATAATATATACTAAGTATGTATATATAATCTCTCTGTGTGTGTGTGTGTGTGTGTGTGTGTGTGTGTGTGTGTGTGTGTGTGTGTGTGTGATAAGAAATGGAGGTCAGACTGCTGCGTATTTAACTAGAGGAAACCTATTCCATCTCAAAGTACTATCCACATGACCGCATTCACTGTCACATTGTTCAGAGTAGCAACTGTATGGAACAAATGTGCATCAATAGATGTGTTTTTCTTTCTCTCTCCTTTTAATTCTTCTCTTTCCTTCCCTCTCCATTTTACTCTTTTATTTCTCCTCCTAGTCTGTCTCTTACCTCTCATCTTTAACTCCCTCACTCCTCTCCCATGTGACTAAGTACATGAGACCAAACAGATACAAATGCACAAGCATATGGAAACTGATTATGTTTAATAAATTTTAAGAAATGCATATTCACAGTAGAACACTTATTTGATAACTGTTTATACCCAATCATATTTTATCATATGACAGAACATTTTGAAGATGGTGCCAAAATTCTCACACCATCCATTTGTAGGTGTTGGGACAAGGATGCTGAATTTCATTTCTTTTCCTCAGACATTTGGTTATAAAGCTGGAATATTTGAAGTTATTTAGGAGTTCCTGAAGTAAAAAAACTTACAGGCACTTTAGTAAGACATCAGATGATGGGGAATGTTCTGAGCAGCTGTAGAAACTCCTCAGTGGAAGCCATAAGACCAGTATTTTCTAGAGTGCAGTGGGTGGCAGCAGCCATAACCATAGCCACCATAGTTACTGTATCCACCAGCTGCCATAGCCACCATAGCTACCATAGCTACAGCCATAGCCATAGCCTTGTCCACCATAGCCACAGCCCAGGCTTCCACAGTAGCTGCTATGGTAACACATGATGTCAGGAGATGACAGTTCAGCTGAAGACTGATGTCTGGATGTCACTATCTGCCAAAGGGCTTTTATATACCTGGGTTGTTGTTGAGGACAGGCATTGCAATGTCACACATCTCTGCACTATGCTTCAGTAAACATCATGAGTGTCATGATCTATCAGACACAAAAGGCTGAATAACTAAGATAATTGTGCTCCTGCAGGATCCCGTAGTCAAATTGTGGAGTCTGATCTAATTTTCAACTCTTACACTCTTTTTCACTGTAGATTAGTGAATACATGCCATGATTCTGTCAGATGATATAAATCATTACATAGTTTTATCCTTTTTATATATATTATTTTTAGTTTGAAAAAGAAAGTGGATTATTTTCCTTCTGTTTCCTTTTTTTTGGAATGAATCTTATCTAGAGGAGCATGTTTCTTGAGTCTTTTTTCATTTCTATTTATTTATTTATTTATTTATTTATTTATTTATTTATTTATTTATTTATTTATTTATTTACTATCTCTAGAGCTGAGGACCGAACCCAGGGTCTTGCACTTGGTAGGCAAGTGCTCTACCACTGAGCTAAATCCCCAAACCCTAGTTTTTCTTCCGAACAACTGGTTATGTTATTTGCAACTTTGTTGGTAGTTGACATTTTATATTAATGTATTTGGATTTATTTCTAAGAATTTTATTACATGTTGGTTTAAAATCATCCAAAAAATGCATGACAATTTAATGTTCATAAACTGTAGGTACTATGTGTTTCTGTTAGAGACTCCATTTGGAGGTCTTGGAATTGTAACTGTGAAAGACATTATGGTTTTGTAGGTGAATCAAGGTCAACATAAACTTCTTTTGAAATCATGGTCACAGGATCATTGCAGAGAAATCAGAGACATGGAACTTTATGAGTTTAACTGATGGCTGTGGAGATCTGTCTGTTTATAAGAGCTCTTGCTGTGTAAGCTGTAAGCATGAGGGTGTAGTTAAAAGTCCCCAGAAGCCACATAAGAAGTTGGGTGTATTCACAATCCTACACCCCAGTGCTGAAGGTCTAGCATACAGACAGATAACTATGGCATAGCACCATGTTCCAGGATATGAAATTAGTAAGAGAATTATCATGAATACTTTTCCAGGTGGTAGTGGCACACGCCTTTAATCCCAGCACTCAGGAGGCAGAGGCAGGTGAATCTCTGTGAGTTCAAGGCCACCCTGGTCTACAGAGTGAGTTCCAGGAAAGGCGCAAAGCTACACAGGGAAACCCTGTCTTAACAAACAAACAAGTAAATAAATGAATAAATAAATTAATCAATAAATACTTTTCAAAAGAAAATCTACAGATGACCAAGGATGAATTTTCAAAATCTTAAGTCAAAGTCACAATGAGTTATTTCCCCATAGTTGTTATTAAAATGGATGTTAGGAAGAAAATGGGTGCTAGAGAAAGATGAAGTCAAGGGAACCCTCTACACAGTGAGAGTATGAAAGTGACAATCATTATAGAAGGTACGGTGGACACCACACACAAGATATTCAGAGAACTAACTTGTGTTAGTAATCAAAATTTAAACAGCAGTCAAAAGGATTTGATCTCAGGGAAATATTTGCACTACCAAAATCATCATGATATCATAATAGGAAGAATATGAACATAATAAAAATGTCTACTAATAGGAGAATGTTTAAAGAGAACATTTCCTTCTGTTTCCTCCTTCCTTTCTTCTCTTCCATCCTTCCCTCTGTCCTCCCCCTTGCTCCCTCCCCCCCCTGCTCTCTTACATTCCTTCCTTTACTTATCTCCCATTAATACACAATCACACCATTGTAACTAGACACAAAACCACTAATGTACAACTCACATTTAGAAAGACTTTAGGAAAACAATATTTTCAAGGAAATACTTTATTTAAAAGCATATCTTTTCATAGAATGGGGAAGGATACAAACAGATCACATTTTACAAGGCATTATGATGACAATGAGGATCATTGTTGCAAATATTCATGAAATCAAATTATAGAAGAATAGGTGGCCATGTTGTGTTTCATTTATTATTCCTCAGATAGTTTGAATAAAGGTTGGAATTTTTGAAGATTTAAGAACCTCTGAAGTGAAGAAAGTTAGAGTGAGCAGCTACAGAATCTCCTCAGTAGAATCCACAGGACCAGTACCTTCTACAGCACAGTGGGCGGCAGCAGCCATAACCATAGCCACCATAGCCACCATAGCCACCATAGCCACCATAACCGCCATAACCACAGCCATAGCCACATCCATAGCCATAGCCTAGGCCACCATAGCCATAGCCCAGGCCTCCATAGTATCCTCCATAGTAACACATGGTGTCAGGAATGAGTGGACTGTTCAGAGAACAATAAGCAGTCGGTTCCTTGAGTCTGGATATCACCATCTGCCAAGGGCCTTTTATACACCTAGGTTGTTGTTAGGGAAAACCACAGGCATTGCAGCATCGCACATCTCTGCACTGTGCTTCAGAAAACATCACGAGTTCCAGGATTTACTGGATAAACAAGGCTGTATAACTGAGATAATTGTGCTTCTGCCTTAGATCCCATAGTCAAATATAGAATCTGATTTAATTTTCATGTCTCTAACTCATTCTTCACATAGCTTAATAGAACAGCACAGAATTCTATCAGATGATATAAAACATTACATAGTTTTCTCCTTTTTACATGTGTTGGGTTTTCTTTACCCCATAGAAAGATCAGTTTTTCCCCTTCTATTTTGTTATTTTGGATGAATCTTACCTACATGTTGCTTTAAAATTAACCTAGCAAGAGATACAGAGACCATGACTGGAAAAAGCACAGGGACAAATAGCCAAACTAGTGAAAACACATGAACTATAAACCAATAGCTGAGGAGCCCGCATGGAACTGGATTAGGCTCTCTAGATAAGTGAGACACTTGATTAGCTTGAACTAATAGGAGGCCCCCAGGCAGTGGGACCATTACCTGTCCTTAGTGCATGAGCTGGCTTTTTGGAACCAAGGGCCTATGCTGGGACACTTTGCTTAGCCTAAGTAAAGGGAGGAGGGTACTGGACCTGCCTCAACTGAATCTACCAGGCTGAGCTGAATTCCCAGGGGAGTACTTGCCTTGGAGGAAGTGGGAATAGGGGGTATATTGGGAAGAGGGTGGGGGAGGAGGGAGGACAGGGGAATCCATGCCTGATATGTAAAATTAAATTAATTATAAAATTTTAAAAAATTAGCCTAAAATACAAGATCATTTAATGTGCATAAACTATAGGTACTGTGCGTTTCCCTTAGAGACCCCATGTGAAGGTCTTAAAGGTGTAACCATGAAAGGCATTATGATTTTTTGGAGGGTGAACCAAGATCAATACTTATAAACTTCTTTTGAAGTAATGATCACATAAGCTTTGCAGAGAAACCAGAGATATATAACTTTATGAGTTTAACTAACATTTAGGTGGATGAGTACTTTTTGTGCAAGCATGAAGATGTAGTTAAAATCCTCAAAACCCACTCAAAAAGTAGAGTAAATTCACATTCCTAAATCCCACTGTTATAGGGGCAGTATACAAGAGGGTTACTATGATATACTGATTGATAACCTAGAACCATGTCCCATGAGAGACCCAATCTCATGGGAGTAAAGTAGGTAGAGTGAAGAGCATGACACAATGTGCTCATTGAGAAACTACACACTTCGGGTCATCTACTCAAACACCTGTGTGCTTACACCACACACATATGTGACAGAAAAATACAACATACCTATATTCATGCACTTACACATATATACGTATAGAAATTCTATGGACATAATATGCTTCAGAATATGCATACACAGCACTCACAAAACTTTAGATGGAATCCCTAAAATAGTTCACTTATTAAAAAAAAGAAGAAAGATAGATAGTAAGTAAAAACTGTATAGACTCCTTAAGAGAACAGAAAAGACATGTATACTTTGTCTCAGTTTATAGCTGATGGAGGGAATATTGGTATGAAAGGTGACAAAACATCGCTGAAAGGTTTAAAGTTTGAACTTTTCACACATTTACCAAAATACATGTTTATCTAAAATAAAATACATGTAACTAAGCATTTATTCAGGGAGTTTGACAAAGAGACAAATCTATGTAAATGAGGTGGCTTCATGGGAAATGTAGCTACTGAAAAATTTCATGAGAAGATTTCCCACTGATATCAGAGTGTCCAACATGAAATTCTTGGGACACACAAATACTGTCAGTGGAAGAATCTTGTTCATTATGTAACAAAACCATTCTTGTACATAGAGATGTGAAGAAAGTGCTTATATCTGAAACTATATATAAAATAAAACCATAAATGAAAGGAATATACATGGACCTGAATCCACAGAATTACTACAACATTACATGGGGTACTGCAAAGGGAATACATATTTGAAAAATCAAAGCTAACATCCACAAAATATGTGATATTTGAATTTTAGGTCTGAGTTAACTCACTGTTCCTTCTTCATCCATTCAGCTGTAATTTTCACAATTTCACTTTTCTTAGCAGTGGGATCATGTCTCATTGTGTAATGTAACACAGTTTTAATATAAATTTATCTGTGGATGGACAGCAAGACTATCTCTATGTTATGGATTTACTGAATATAAGCAAGTATACTATGCTATAGAGACCTTTGTTTCTCTGACTAAGCATGGTAGCTGAATTGTGTAGTAGATTTGTTTCTAGATTCCTTTGAGTAACCTCCGCACTAATTTCCACAGTGGCTTCACTAGTTTATGCTCCCACCAACTACAAATAAATGTTCCCCTTTCTCCAAATCCACACCAGCATTTGTGGTCAGTTGTGTTTTTCACCACAGATATTCTGATTGAGGTGAGAAGAAATCTTAAAGTAGTTCTGGTTTGTATTTCTATGTTTGCTAAGATGTGAAACATTTAGAAAATGTTTCTCATGCAAAACTGTTTCATCATTGAAATACACCTATTTAGTTCCATTCTCTACTTAATAATTGGAAAGTTTCTTTCCTTGATGTATAGTTTTTTGTATATTCTTGATTCTAAGCTTCTATCAGATATTACAGATAAAGCTTTCCTTCATAACATAGGTTCCCTCTTTACTTGAATGATGGCATTCTTTTCTGTACAGAGCTTTTTAGTTTTATGAGGTCACATTTATATATTTCTGCTTTTAAGTCCTGAGTTACTGTTGTTCGTTCCCCAAAGTCCTTTCCTGTGGCGCTGAGTTCATGTATTATACTTTGTCAGATTCCATTTTCAGTGTGTCTATTTTGATGTCAGCACCATGCAGTTCAGATTATTATCGCTCTTTTGAGGTCATAATATTCATATGGGGCCATGTGCACATGTCAGGGGAAGGTGCTTTCAAGGGAGTTGAGATAGAGTGCAGTAGTATCCAAGGGTAAAAGTTATAATGGGAACAAGAAGGGTTAAAAAGGGTAGTGGATGGAAATGCAGGAAAAGAGAGATTAACTAACATTTAGGATCTCATATAAAGTTATATGGAAATTTGCTTTTTGCTGTAGAAATTTGCACTCAATATATATATTTAAAATGGAGTAACTCTGTAATGAGCTAACAGTACTCATAGTAGACATTGCTGACTAACAAATAAAAAGCCCTTTGCCAGAAATGAGTGCATTTTGAAATTCTTGGCCTGTAGTGCCCCATAGACCTCCAAATATTACAAGCTCTTGCCAATATTATTGTTTGCCCTCCAAAATCTGAAAACAGAACTCTATTTATTGTTTTTTTAAATTTATTTTACAATACTATTCAGTTCTACATAATAGCCACAGATTCCCTTGTTCTCTCCCTTCCTGC